GAAAACAGTATAAAGTCACAGGCGATACAGCATTTTGCGATCCATGACTTTCATCTGTTTGTTGCTTCAGCGCTTCGGGCTTCACTATGATTTATGAACGGCGACTCCGTAGATTTCTTATTCGTCCATAATCACTGTGTAACAATTTTCAAATTCGAACTTCCAGCTCTTATTCGACGGGTTATCCTAAACAGGTATGAACAGCGTACGATTTTTGTCACACTGTTCCACTCCGTGAAGTGGAATTCGTCCCGGAATTAAGTTGTCAACAGCTATCCACAGTCCGAAAGGTTACCATGAGAGTGCTAGTGTCTATCGCGTTCCCAACAAGAGGTGAGAAATAGTTCCAGTAAAGTTCAATTTGAAAGTGCATTTCGTTATCAACAGAACAAACNAGAACAAACTAAATGTGAGAGGAAAAGCCCGGAAGTACGGTTGTTCTAACCTGATTGGGTCTTTTCTTTTCACTTCGTTTTATTGAATACATATTATCATTACGCAAACCGTTTTCTTGTGTTGCGAAGGTTATATATCCCTGAAATGTATTTCAACAGCTGTTACGTAGGATAGAAACCTAACTTTCATTGACGAACTGTATGTTCTTATCAACAGATACGCTAAAGTCAGATCTCCTGGACATTGTGTGGGTCATTTGTTATGTCATAGATCTGATGCACGAAGCAAACCAATGGTGCGAAATTTTTCGCGATACTTACGTTACAACTTTTCCTCCACGATCGCAGGCAGTTGAACCGCATCATTCATGGTCCGTTATCTATCTATTCATTTATTACACCATCTTCCCCGGCTCACCTCGCACTTTTACATCCCACCTCTGTTCTTTCTCTGGCTCTCTCCCTATGTGACAGAACTTGTTACAAGCACTGGAGTCGCTAAGGCATAGCAGTGAACTACAACAAATCCAAAGCGAGGAGCTGGTGGACGATTTGAAACGAGCAAACAGTGCCCTGATTGCCGCATTCGAGAAAGCGAAACGAAAATATTTGACTCGAATCAAAAAGTTGGAAGATCAGATCGCCCGACGTCCCGGTACCGCTCGAGCCAGTTCGATCAACTGTACATCCGCTTGCTCCCCCGGAAACTCAGATCCCAGTCATCATCCGCGTCATCCGCAATACAATCCGCCAATCGCAGTCGCATACCCCACGACCGAGTGTGTACGAATTCCGCCACTGGTGCCACCGGCACACGACCGTCCACTTCCACCAATCACAATGGATCAGACAAATGGCGTATGCGGTGTTCCGGGTAAACATTCGTACCGAGTTCTGGATCTGCCTCCCGCGTCAAACCCCTCGCATCCGACAATCCCCAAATCCAATGGTGCACTCACTGTGCACACAAATATCTCAGCCCAAACACGTGCCAGAGGCCAACCAATTACTGCGCGAATTCCAGACCGAAACAATCCAGTTCGGAGATCGCCAGCATCCACAAATCATCCCAATTCGAATTCGAATACGAGTGAATTTCCTCCAAGCCCTTGTCGCACTGGTAGACCTGTGACCACTTTACCGGTACATCGAGCCACATGAACCGGTTTCGTTCATACTGCATAATGGCTACCTGTATTTCACACACACGCACACACACACACAGATCTTTCCGCTCCTCGGTTGACCACGCGCAAGCTCAAGCGTACACGCGCGCATGCGCCGGGACTGAGTCTTTCGAATGATTGGTTATGTAAATTGCACTCTCTCTCTCGATTCCCATCTGAATGCGTACAAAGAAATCAGCATGGACCCACAAAAACATCGTTGATGACCTGTAGACCTGTTGAAATCGCCCTTCCTCATATATTGTGCGCAACCTAATCCACACAACCACTAGATCGCATTAAACGGCTTGGGATTCTACGAATGTCCCTAAAACCTATGATGCATATCACGTGGACCTGTAGGTATACAAAGAAACGCACGCACACACACACACACACATACGAACCTGACTCTCTTTCTTTCAGAACTTGATTTCATCGGAACTTTGTGTTTTGCTATATCATCTCCATCATTATCCTATTCAGGCAGGTAAGTGTAAGTACCGCTTCGAAAAAGCCCCCAATGCATTGATTAACAGAGTTTTGCTTCCCTTCCCTTCCATTGTCGTATTCATCGTTGCATGACCAACATCAGATGTTCTGTTCGTTTGTGTGTATTATTTATCGAATCGTGATTAGTAAAAAAATCATTGTCACAGTCATTTTCACCCATTTTTGCCTGAGGATAAAACAATAAGGACATTGGGAACACCTGGCGACTTTGTGTGTTTCCGTTGTTCCCATCCTTTCTTGACCGCCCCTCCCACTCTCTCCCGTCTTTCCGTTTACACTGTTCTCATATTCTCGAAACAACAACGGGATTTCGGATCCCACTATCTGCTCACACACACCATATACGCAAGAAAATATACAGTTGTAGATTATCGCCATCTGCAATATGTGCTCTCATTGTGTTTGCCTGTACATTTCATTCATTTTTTCTCTGCTTCGACCATGCTGCTCCGCGATCGATCTAACTCCGATTTAACTTTGGATTGAAAATATCGCGAACGATTTCGACTCATCTTCCCCCCCCCTTCCTTGTCCCATAAACACACACGTGCAGCACTTTCTCGCTTTATGATCTACCCCCGAGCTGAACTCATCGTGATCCACTCATCACTGCTGCTCTTCCTGCATTGTGCTACTTGACACTCACCTCCCTCCCAACTGTACTCACATCACAAAAACTACCCGGGACTATTACACCTACTACTACTACTACTACTATTACTTCTACTGCCGCTACTACTATTAACACTACTACGACGATGACTGTTATTCATACTACTTCTATTACTACTACTACTACTACTACTACCATAACTACTACTACTTTGCTGATCTCTCGCTGCAGCGTTTCTTTTTGTTTGTGTTTTCACTCCCGTAATACATGCTAATAAAAAAGTGCAACACTGAGCTCGAACTACTTTGGCCTTTATTCAGTAGTACATTTCTACCTAAGATTCCCTGAGCTGGCGGAAGCAGATGAGGTATTGGGGGGATTGTGTTGACTGGGATTTTGCTAGCCTCGAGAAAATCACACTTTTTCGAAAATTCGAATGGTTGAATGAATCGGTGAACGAGTGAGTACGTGGGTGGGTAGGTGGATGAGTGAGTGAGTGAGAGTGCGCGGAGACGATCAATAGCGTAGATGATGGGATAGACGATTCGGTTTCACTTCCATAGTACTTGTCTCTGTTCCAAGCCAGCCGATTCCGGATTAACGCCATTTCGGCAGACTGTCTGGAAATGCCCAAGGGGAAAATGAGACAGTTGTAAAAAGGGAAAATTCATTCGACCAGTAAAAGCGATTGCTTACCGGCATAACGTAAGCTCTTCCATCGAAAACTGTTTTCCCGTAGAGCGTGGCGCAGTACGAGTTGCATTCTGACAGAAAAGAATGAAAGATGGTCGCATTTGTAGAATGTGACAAAAAATGTGGATTCCGGTGGTGATTACGTCACATATGTAATTGGCAAATCGTGCGTTTATCAGTGTAAAATGAATGCGTGATACGCCAAGGCGCTTGACAAGATTTTACTACCCTCCGAAAGAATCGTTTATCAGGTGTGGAATCCTGCAGAGCAGAGCATAAACGCGTGTTGTCGAGCGATTGCCCACTATGATTGAGTAAATGCAACTTCTCTATTTCCAACGCGATTGCTTCGAAGTCAACGGACCTTCCTTGCAATGATTCAAATTGCTGAGCTCGCTGCTAAATTTATCCGTTTTAGTGACAATCTTGGCGAATAGAAGTCGACGTGAAACTCACAATGCAGAGGATCTAGCATTCGGTTTTTGAGGAGTCGTGCAGTTATCATCACCCATCGTCGAAATCTGGTGGCTGAGGCCGATTTCTAACCTCAGAATTGTAAGCCCGAAACACACCAATGCATGGTGGGAACCGCTTGATCGTAACTTGACTTAAAGATCCAATCAAAATTTCTGACAGCGTTAGCTGAAGTTATTTAATAGTCTATTTATCCACGTTTGATTGATTATTGTGCATATAATAACCTCACATGAGCTTAGTCAGTTTGAGCCAAATAAGATGTAAGAAATTTTTGTCCGGGTCTGGATATATCATGGAGGTTTCGCCAGTTTTGCATGCGGCACTAAGTACGATTCGCATCCCAGTTGACTCGTGGTCTGGGTGAATTGGATCCCATATCGAGGTGACGATGTATAGATATAGATATATTGATTGCGTGCAAATTAACATTGTCCTGAATGAACTAAGATAATCGTTTGTCCTGGCACAGATGAAGAATGAGAATGTATTTGTAAAAATAATATTGCATGTTTTCAGACGAGCTATACCGTGTTGGCAAAATGTACTGCGGCAAAGTACTGAGCATTTGATTTTGAATTAGTATGACGATATGTCATCCAGAGGTGGGGGGGGGTATACCTGAACCAGGTGATTCACAATACATAACAGTCTACATCTGAAAGATTGTCATGCGGTGGAATTATTGTGATGTAAATGAATGAATGCAGTTCCATATGTATCGGGGTTTTCTTCAATGAGTAACTTCTTTTTATTGAATAGGCAACATTAGTTTTGTCAGTTTCCAAGGTACTACTGAAAAAGCCAACCAATGCTTGTCACTCGATAGAGCGAGGCTGGAGGGTTTCCACGGCAGTGGTGGGATTCGACTTCGGGATTGGTGTCCTTGACTTAGAATATGCCGATGACATCACCTTGCTTGGTGACAATACACAGGCAGTCCAGAACGTTTAGAACCGCTTGGTGAAAGAGGTATCCAGGTATGGTATGTGTTTTGCACCATCAAAGTGCAAAGTGCTTGCTCAAGACTGGCAGGAGCCTGTGTCTGCACTCACCCTCTGTGGTGATCAGCTAGAAGTAGTTGAGAGCTTTAAGCAGCTCGGGAGCTTGATCGTAGGTGGGGTTGAGGAAGAGATCACATCACGAATAGCGAAAGCTAGAGCAGCTTTCGCCAACCTGCGACACCTGTGGCGCCGCCATGACATCCGACTGTCTCTTAAGGGAAGGGTGTACACTGCCGCAGTTCGTAGAGTTCTGTTTTACGGTTGCGAGACCTGGCCTCTTCGAGCGGAGGATGTTAATCGGCTTTCCGTTTTCGACCGTTGATGCCTTCGAAGCATTGCTCGTGTCTGGTGGGAACATCGGGTGAGTAATAACGAAATTCGTCGTCGTATGCTGTGTATTGATAGCCATTCTCTAACAGAAGTAATCGTTATACACCGCCTCCGATGGCTCGGTCATGTTTTGCATATGCCTGCCTATCGACTACTTCGCCGTGCTCTCTTTGCACGTGCCGGGCAAGGCTGGAAGAAGATTCGCGGCAGTCAGACCATGACGTGGCGTAGAGGTATAAAGAAGTTGGCCTCAGCATTGACTTCGATTGGTGCAGCTTGCCTTCCAGGCATTGTCACCATGCCTGTTCTTAAGCCGGTGGATTATAT